GGGTGACCATACGTCCTCTTTTCCCCGGACATGTCCTCTTTTTGGACCTACAAAAATGCGTCCGACCGGGATTTCTTAATTGCCCAAAATGTCCGGGATTCAGCTGTTTTCTTAATCCCACTCCCGCTGAATCTCTGACCATTGCCGCCTGCTCCCGCAACATGTGTTTCGCTCCCACGATTTTCGTGTCCACTCCTTTTAACATTCTAATAGTGTGTATAATTTTGGTGCATCAGGGAGCCTCTCTCAGGATGCGGTGTATTTAAATATTTTTGAATCAGCATTTGCACTGTTTACTTTCACTTTCGATTTCGCGATTACACGCACTCTGTGTAAAGGGAGCAAGCACATCTTACAAGATCGGACATTTGTCAATGAGCTCAGAATCTGTTGAGCAGCAAATACTCCAGCATGGTCTTGTCAGTCATCTCTCCTTATTTTCTACCTGTGATCAGTCAAAGCTGACTCCAGTAGCTCTTGTTGGATGCAAGGTTGCCAAGTCCAGCGTTTTTTCCACAGAATTGGGCTACTTTTAAACGAACTATAAACTTTCCAGTGATGTCTGTGAGAAAGGTATATTCACTCGACAAGCTCGCGCATCTGCGCCGCCGCGAGCTCAATTTGCTTATCAGCTCGCGCACATCAGCTATATAGGCGTTAATACTGAATGTTTAACATTATATTCATTGCATACATATGCTTCGTATACATACTTAATCTCTAATAACTCCATTCTGCTTTCTGTTGTTTTGTTGTCGGTGTTTCTTTGTCTGAATATGGCGCTTATCACATGCTGTGTGGTATCGGCGTTTGGTATCGGGGCATTTTAACAAGTACGAGTACGAGTACAAGAGCTCAGTACCGGGCCCGATACGTATCGGTATTGGTGCATCCCTAGTTTATTATATGTAAGAGTGAACTCGTGAAGTGATGTTTTATTAACAAATTTCGGGAGGAGCACGCACAGATAATTAACACGACCAATCTATCATCAGTAATTACACCATCTATCCAACCAGCACAAGAGAGAACCCCTATAAATAATCAAAGCAGTCTTACCTTCACTATCTCTAGTCTTTCAGCATCTCTCCACCACCCCGACTCCTCACCTTCAGCCCGTTCCTACCCCAGCACGGGGGGAGTGCTCTGGGTCCGGGCTAAAAACCGAGCTTCGAGAGTGATTACCGAGCTCGGAGCCCTCTCCCCGGACAGCACGCCAAATACGCAAAACCTTTACTCAATTTATTATATGTAAGTGTGAACTCGTGAAATACAGTTTTGATGTCACAGCTACGCTCACATCCACATGCAAACATACCGTTGGCGTGGAAGTTATTCTCTGCACAAATTAACTCACAGAAAGTTCTAGAAGCATAGTGAGGTAGAAAAAAAAATATTTATGATGTATGATATTGGTAAGCAACATCACACGACCAAGATGTTTCCCCAAATATCAGCACGATTGCAATGTGGCACTGATTTTATACAATAATAATTCAATAAACAAGAAGTTAGAAAAAAGTGACTTACATTTTAGACACAATATTGAATGCTTTTCCTCAATTTCGCAAACAAAAATAGTTCCAATCACGTTTTTGAACGAATCAAATGAGTCGATGATTCAGTAATCCATTCCTAAAGACAGTGGCTGCGTCCGAAACCGCCTACTTCTCTACTATATAGTAGGGGAAAAGCAGTAGGCGAGCGAATAAGTATAATTATTGTAATTTCAAGCAGAGTTATCACAGCACTCTTCTGATTCTTGATTCCTGTGCATTTGCTGCAGATCTTTTGTGGTGGAGCAGAACCTGCAAGGAAAGGTGACGGCGGCATTTGTGGAAAAAAGGGAAAACCTGAAACAAAAATATAAAGTAAGTTCATTCTGTTACTTCTAATACAGAAATCAAATGACATTGTGCTGTTAAAATGACTGATTTTGTATTATATTTGTGCTTCTTTGCATGATCTGAAATGTCTGCAGACTGCTGTGAGCAGTGAGGATAGAGAAGTCCACAGCAGCATCCTGGAAATGGTCCAGTGCCATGAATGAGACGCTCCATCTCTCCACCTGCCCTTACTGTCTCATCTGGGCCGGATGTTGCTCTGGTTTCTTCATGCTCGGTGACCCCAGAGCCAGTAAAAGAGCATCTAGAAAAAGACCAAAAGACAGTGACGATGTGATTTTGGTCAAGTTTGTCCTGCTGGTTTTGGTTCATACAACATCAGTCAATGGAGCCAGAGTTTCAGAAGCTTCAAAAGCATCATCAAATAATGTCATGAAGAATCTGAAAGTCAGTCTCCCATCAACTGATATTGTATGAACAGAAACC